ACGCTCCCGGTGTGAGTTTAAGCCACTGGGTCTGGGACGTGAACCACGGTCGACTACATGGAAGCCCAGCCAAATAGCCATTACACTAACTACTGGTCCCTATGTTGCATTCTTTTTTTTTTTTGATAGGTTTTTCCTACAGGGCGTGTGCGCTTGCCAGAAAGACAGAAAGAAACAGAGAGATAGAAAGCGAGAAATTACCCCCCAAGGGGGGTGGCCTCGCCGCAATCCCTTCTCCTCCATTCTCCTCTCGGGATCTTGGGCACACACGCACATGTGCCTGGTGTGAGTTTTAAGCCACCAGGTCTAGGACTTGAACCATGGTCGACTATGTGGGAGTCCAGCGACATAGCCATTACACTAACTGCTGGTCCCCCTTTGTTGCATTCTTGAAGCACATTTTCATTATGTGCTTCTACTAATGCAGCACCGAACTTTCGTGATTATGCCAAGCTCATAGAGTCAAAACATGTAGAGTACTTTGTCATGGTTTGAATGTTTGTCCCTTCCAAATCTCAGGTTGAAATCTCTAAAACTCCTATTGAAATTTAATTGCCTTGTAGCAGTATTAAAGGTATTAACAGTATGACTAGGCCTGGGGGTTCTACCCTCATGGCTGGATTGGTATCATTTACGTATTAAGAGGAAGGCTAAATAAATCTTGCAAAGTATATCTGCAGAATAAAAATATTTACTTATATAAGAGCAAGATTGGCCTTCTCTCGTCTCTCTTGCTCTCTTGCCTTCTGCCATGTGAGGATGTAGCAAGAAGACCCTCATCAGAAGTCAGAGCCTTGATACTGTATTTTCCAGCCTCCAGACCTGTAAGCCTATATGTTCTGTTCATTTTAAATTACTTATCTCAGGTATTCTGTTAGAGTAACAAAAAATGGATTAGGACAAACTCCATTAAGAAATGACATGGTTGGGTGTCAGCAGGTGGCATAGTGGTTAAGGCAATGGACTCTCACATGGCTGACCACAGTTCGAGTCCCAGTACCAGAGGCTTAAAACTCACACCAGGCAGGTATGTATGCATGGCCAAAATCCTGAAAGGAGAATGGAGAAGGGGTTGCGGCATGACCAACCCCTCTGGAGACTGATTTCTCAGTTTCTCTTTGTCTCTTCAGTGAGCGCACGTGCCCTATAGCAAAAAATCTCTTGAAAAAAAGAAAGAAAGGGCATGGTGATTAAGCCTCTGGACTCCAACATGGCTGACTGTGTTTGGGGGGCCAGGCCTGGACACCTCCCCCCCAACCCCCCATCGCTCTCTGGTGAGCACACATGCCCTATAGCAAATTAAAAAACAATAATAATAAATAAAACAGCTCATTAAAAATTATTATTAAAAAAGGAAATTCCACCCAATAATGGTGTGTATATATCATGCCATCCACAGTAGCACTATGTAGCTACAGCTACACAGAGCAAACATACTATGTGTTTGGGTAGTTTCTTCCAAAATTGACTTTTTTGTTTCTTCTTATTGCCATTTTATTTTTGACTGAAGTTTTAATATTCTCTAGGTAAGGTCCTTCTAGGATGTCAGGCTTGGTCAGTCATGATCAGTACCTTCTATGGGAAGTCTATCAAGATACTCTTCTGTGTACATTAGTTCACTCTGATATACTTTATTGTATTTATTTTTTTAAAGACTACTTTGACCTAAGGATCCAAGTTTAATCAGAAGCCTGGCACTTACCATGATGCTCTTTGGGACAAGTTCAGTAAGTGTGGAGACATGTCTTGCTTAGTTACGGGAATACATTCTGAGAAATGTGTCAGGTGCTTTGGTTACTGTGAACTTCCTGGAGTGGACTTACACAAATCTAGACGGTATAGCCTGCTACAGACCTAGACTGTCTGGTATAACACACTGCCCCCCCATCACATATGCAGCCTGTTTTTGAGAAAAATGTCATTCTGTGGTGCATGACTGCATTTGATCCTTACCATGTTGATAATGATGGCAATTCATTAAGTGACATCAGTGTCAAACAGATGGGAAAATATAAGTTTGGCTGAATAAGGGATAACAAATACAGACACAAATTTTAAGCCCACAGATGCCACATAATTTAAAAAATCTTGTCTTTGTGCCCATTCCCCCAATTTTAGCCAGTTTTAAGGCATATTTGTTAGAAGGACACCTTTTTTTCCCCCCTCTCCTTAGTATGTTTCCACTTTCTACTCCAAATTCCTTCAAGTGTTAACTAATTGAATATAACCTGAAGTATGTGGTCTGGTTATGGTCTTAAAGTGGGTGGTTCCTTGAGATTAGAATAAAACAAGCATATTTCTGAACTGCTCATGCTACCTGCTCGACACTAGAGATTTGGTATAGTTCAGTGTACTTGAAAGAAGCCCTGCAGCAATCAGCCAATGGCTCAGAGACAGGAAGTAATGGAGACTACCTTCAAAGGGTCTTTTTTGAGTTCAGTGCACTAGGTCAGGAAGAAAGTCCATTGGAGAAGGAAACTCCATTACTTTCATGAAATTTGCTTTCATGAAATACGTGGGAGGATCAAAAAATCCTTCGATTGTGAGTTTAATTATCAATCATGACAGATTGGGTTGGGAAGTATTAAATTCTATTCTGTCCACTTACAGACTCTACATACCTCTTTGCCCGGAAGACTATCAAATTGCTAATTTTGGCTATATTCCTCAGTTTCCCCTGTGTCTCCCATGTCTCTTCTAATGATCTTGCACAGCTTCTTTGTCAGGTTTTTAAAAAGAGAATAAAATTAAATGTTATGTATTTAGAAATGGATTTAATTAAATGCATGATTTACTTAGTGTTTAGAAAGTGTGCAGGTATTTTAATACAAATGGTGCTTATAATAATGTCTATAGACATTTAATGATTAGATCTTAGATAAGTTATATCTCCTTGTAACACTCCTTATAGAGGAAAAATCAAATTCAACTCATATGATTTTTAACTCACAACATTTTTCTAGAAGCATTCCATAATTTTTAGCATTGCCTGTACTGCATCAGTTACATATTATGAGGAAGGCTAAATAAAACTTACAAAGCATATCTGCAGAGTAAAAATATTTAGTTATTTACATATTCCCAAACTTCAAACAATTCCATATAGAGGTTTATACATATACTTTATAAGTAGGATATGAGAGACAACTGATTTAGTACATAAAGTTTTTATTTAAAGTTTTCCCCTTCCAAGCAAGCTTCATTTACACATTCTAATACTGTACAAAATTTACATCCTCTGTGACTTACTCACTTTTCACTTTCTAGTAGTTTGTGTCTTTCTGAAATACAGAAAGCTCTACTTATAGTTCTCATAAATGCTTTTTATTTATTTTGGCTAGAAATAAAAACTAAAATGACAAACAAGTCCAAATAAAGCAAATATTCTTGTATAAACTGTGACTTCTGGAAGGAATGGTGACAGTTGAAAATAAAACGTTCTGAAGCAGATCATGTTCTCTTTGTGATGTCAGCTGGGATTCTTCCACAGGGTTTTTGTAATATCTTTCTTCCTATATATTCATACGTTTTTGAGAAAAAAAAGAAATGGAAGTTGATTGCACTGGATATACATATATATATTTATATATATAATTTTACAACGGATCCTTTGGATCTGAACATACAAATAAATACAGAAACAACGAAGATTGCACTTTACTGTAGAAATGGCATTGGATTCCAGTATACCCATCCATCTTGATGCGCTCTGCCATGAAAGCTTTTTTGATCTGTGGCTTTCTGTTATTGTTGTATTGAATGACACATTTGTTGAGGGATTCAACAACATATCTGAGTAATTAAAAATATTTTAGGCTTTTATTTACTCCTAACAAACTCTGAAGAGTTTGAAGCTCAGATTCATGTTCCTCCCGTTTTGTTTTTACTGATAGGCCACACTGAAAATCTCATGCTCTCTAGACCTTCTGCTTCTAAATTCCTCATGCTCCTAAAGACAACTAGCAATTCCTCACTTAACTGAGTTCAGGCATCTCTGGTGATGACAAATGAAATAGGATGAGTTGGTGGAATAGTGGGAGTAAGTCAAGTATCTAGAACTGCCCAAAGGTGTGGAAGGGAAGTAGCTTGGTAGGTGCCATGACTGGCATCTATACCTCTTATAAACTGTGTATTTTAGGAACAGAGCAACAACTGGCTTTATAATTGTGAAAAGTTATAAATTTTTTCATCTCTGAATTCTCAAAGTTTTCATTATGGATTAAGTTGGGATCACATGTATTATTCAGCAGTCTCTAAAATATCAAATTTATCAGTTCTACCTTTTGAAGCCAGTAACATAAGTGTTCACCAAGTACATACTACAAAAGATGAGAAAACCCAAACCTCCATGAACTAAATAGTGACATGGTATATTGTTTTAATCTTTTAGATCAAATTGAGAAAACAGAAATGATTAATCTGGGCTAGTTTAGAACCTATAGGGTAGAAAGAATTACTACAAGGGCCAACATCTTTCTCTCCTCTGATCCCATGAAGTGCTGTAAGGGCAGAAGGTATATGAAATGAAGTTGTACAAAAATGAAAATGCCCTTCTTTAATCTCACATGATTTTCAATAACTGTGTTGCCTGTGGAGTCTGTGAAGTAGCCAAAAGTTAGGCATACAGAATCGAGTGGCAATTTCTGTAACACAGTGTAAATATTTTGGTGGGTCAAATTTTGAATCATCCATGAACACAATATCCCCAAAACTTCAACATAGATCACATGCAGGTAGACTACAATGCACAATATTGATCTTAGTTCTCTCTGGGGCCAGTCTTCTGTATTTTGTCTTTCTCCTTTTGATAATTAAGATCTACGTGAGGAGTTTTTGTAAAGCTGGGACAAGTCAAAACCAGTCTGAAATAGAAGAGTCTGTCGCCACAGGAAGTTTGGTGTGATCTGAGTTACAAATGCAGTATCTATTCAAGAATAGTTGTCTTCTTTTTTGTAGTTTGTTGTAAATCATCAGAAACCAAGGGTAGCTTTCAACCGTTGTATCATTAGAATGCATTGTTCCTATTATGCTAGTGATGTCACCTGTCATTGCTTTCTAGAATGTGATCCTGTTCATTCCAGGGTTCCCAGGTGTTATTTGTTATACGGCACACAGGCAGGCAGGATAACTGTTGCACAGGCAGGGCCGGCCAGGGGTTCTGCTACATCTCCTTCCAGTTCTGTCCAGGTTCCTTTTTCTGGACAGTAACATATTGTAGATGATTTGTAGGCCCCCTGTAATGACAGAGTAGGGGACATTTAGAAACAATGTTCCCAGAAGTGCAGTGGCAATGGTATCAAATGTCAATGTGCCAACATTGACATCAGAAAGAAAATGTCTGTTCTCAGTTCTTGCTTAAAAAAATTCCACATGGAAACAGTGGATGGTAAACTGTTTTATTCTAAGGAAAAGTTCGAGACTGACAAGATTTCAAAATCGTTTTCATGCATGATTAATAATGAAAGCCAAGATCTTGAATATCCTAAATGCTTAACAAATAATTGGTCAGAAATGAAAGTTATCCAGCTGGTTTAAGTTAAAAATCAGAAAAATTCACCTTAAGTATGTAAACAATTGAAGTATTTAGATTGTTGTATCATTTCCCCATCTTTATTTTGCTAATGTAGAGAATAAGATCTGGCATTAACAACAGTTTGTAATAAACTGGAAATGAGGGCTTACTTCTTTTTTTTTTTTTGGAAAGGTTTTTTTTTGTTTGTTTTGTTTTTGTTTTTGTTTTTGTTTTTGTTTTGCTACAGGGTGTGTGCGCTTACCAGAAAGACAGAGAGAGACACGTAGAGACAAAAAGTGAGAAGTCACCCCCCCGGGGGGATGGCCATGCTGCAATCCCTTCCCCTCTATTCTCCTCTTGGGATCTTGGGCACGCATGCACACGCTACTGTTGTGAATTTAAGCCACCGAGTCTGGGACTCAAACCGCTGTTGACTACATGGGAGTCCAGTGACATCGTCATTATGCCAACTTCTGGTCCCAAGGGGCTTACTTCTTCATACGTTGATATTTTTACTTTCAAGAAGCCACACAGGAAATAAAAAATGTCTTTAATCTCATTTCTTTGTCAACTTAAGGGGCTAGTGCTTATGTAAGATTTTCCTTCTCAAACCAAAGTAGCTTTGTTTTATCAAAGGTAAAAAATATATAACCCAACCAATGGAATAATCATTTTATGAAAGTCTATTCCTGGTGTCTGGTTCTAAACACAAATATTCTTGTGGCTGACAATTTGCACCAGGAAACAAGCACATGTATGAATATTTAATTATATTATATCAATATATATTTGCCTCCACATAACGAATAACTTTTTAAAGACCTCCCGAAAATATCCTGCAATCTTCTTTGACACAAAATAAATATAATGTTATTAAAACTCCAAATTAATCTTATAAAATCAATACACATAAATAGGAAAATATAAAAAGGGCCATAATTTAAAAAGAGAATATGTAGACCACTAGGCCAGATACATTTCCTGATGTGATGTAATTTGAACCACACAATCACCTCTTTGGTATTCTTACCAATAGAGAAAATAAATAAAATTTAAAAAGGAAAAGGTTAAAGTTAATTCCTATTCTCTAACTTCCAGTCTATAGGAAATATGAAAGCAGAGGACCATATTAAATGACACCACAAAGAAATCATTAGTCAACTCCAGAATATACATATCCTATATGATACCTGACCTTGTTTCATCAACAAGTCAATGCTTAGGGAAAAAAAGTAGTTCAGAGATAACACTTTAGGTTGTAAGAGAGTTATGAGACATAATAACCAGAAGAAGCAAGATTTGTTGAATACTGATTCAAACATCTCAATTTGAAAAAAAAAGTTTATTTATCATATTATATCCAATTGCTTTCTATCATTACATCTTATAAAATGAATTTTCCCAGTATGACTACTCTGGATATTAGTCCAGTTAAAGGTATTGTAATACACATTATCATCAATAGAAAATTTTCCATTTTCATGTCCCTTAAACATTTTGCTTTTTTTTTTTTCCACGTCACTGGGGGAAATGTGAATATGATGCTAGTATATTTACTAAATGAATATTTTCTTTTAAAAGATTAGTAATGAAGCATAAATGCATAAATACGTCATTACACATAAATGGGTGAAATAATATGATATTCTGGATTTGCTTCAAATTGCTTCAGTCGAAATTTTTAAAAGAACAGGCAGGTAAGTCAGGGTGACAAAATGTTGATGGATGTTGAATGTAGATGATGGGTTAATGAGCTCATTGTACTTTCAATTTTCATATGTTTGGGAGTTCTCATGTTAAAGAGGGGGAAAATGGAAAGCAATGGCAAAGTACATGTACTGAATAGAATTCATGGAGATCGAAGAATTGCTTCCCATCATTTGTTTGTTAGTAATTCTGCTATGGGGTGCATGTGTTCACTGGGGAGACTGAGAGTGAGAGAGGGAAGGAAAGTGAGAAAGCACCCCACCCTAGGGGAAAAGGCCACACTACAATCCTATCTCCTCATTCATTTCTTGGAATTTTGGGCATGCATATATACACACTCTGCAGCCATGTGGGGTCCAGTACCTTTAACAACTTTAACTCACTTTCCATGTTTTTTTTTTTTTTTTTTTTTGGAGGGTTTTTGCTTCAGGGGTTTTTTGAGAGGTTTTTGCTACAGGGTGTGTGCACTCTCCAGAAAGACAGAGAGAGATAGAGAGACAGAAAACAAGAAATCACCCTCCAGGGAGGACAGCCATGCTGCAATCCCTTTTCCTCCATTCTCCTCTTGAGATCTTGAGCACACACGCACATGTGCCTCGCATGAGTTTAAGCCACCAGGTCTGGGATGCAAACCATGGTCGACTATATGGGAGTCCAGCTACTGGTCCCCACACACTTACCATTTTGTGTACCTCACTGGTCAGGAACTTTTTAGATTCTTTT